ATGTGAACACCTCCCCCTTCCTCCCCGGCTGCAGCGCTCTGAGCAGCCAATCACCAGGCTTGAACAGTGTCGGTTGGGAGAGGAGAGACTCATTAACCCTCTGACATCCGAATAGAGCTTACACAGGGATTAGACTCAAAGGGGAGCATGAGGAAGTGGAGCATCGGTGGTGGGGGAGGGGGAATGGCTTTTTTTCAAGAGAACCTGTCATTTTTCTCTGAATTGGCGGCGTGCCATGCTCTTAAACCCTACAGAGACCCACCTGGACGAGAGCGTAAAAGATCTTAAAGATCTGTTTCTGGATGAGCATAGACTGTTCAGAGGGGTCGGGAAGCAGACTGATGAATCGCTCTTTCAGCATGGGCAGAAAGTGCTGCATAGCGGCTATCAGTGGGGTCCTCTCTTCTGGCTTCTTGTACCTGGAACACGGAGCAGACCAATTATACAGCAAGAATTTGCATGATGGGCTCAGTACATCGGCAGATAAAAAGGAGCCACTTACTCATAGTTCTTCACCAACTGGTACAGACAGAGCAGGATGCCCAGCCAACAGGCGCTGTTATCAGACTGCAGGTAATAGCCGATCTTCTCTACCACGGCCGTCCAGCGAGTCGGGTAATCGTGTTTGATGATGTGGTGGATGCACGTGGTCAGCTGGACTCTGGAATGCACAATGACAACAACCGATTAAAAAAAAAAACTACATTGACGAGCAATTCTACATAGAAAGATTTCATTCTGCTGGATACCAAGAGTGAGAGAGCAGCTTAGGAACTTTAATACAAATTAATCCGATGGATCTCATTATTTCACCTATGCCTCATCAGCACCGCCTGGGGGGGAGGGGGATTTGAGGGGCAGAGCATTTGATGGACAGCTGCTTCAACAAGTCTTGTCATTACCATTGACGGCAGGGCGGGCTGGCAGTGTGCTTTTGGGCATCTAAAACTACTGCAGGCAATTTTGGGGAATTTTTTTTACGGTTAACACGTTAAAGGGCTCATTTCAGATGGACGTCCATACCGTGTGCATGCCTGTAAAAAGACCAGATCCCAGAAGGGACAGGTGCTGCGTGTGATTGCATTCAACCTGTTCTTCCCCTATGTGAAGGTGATGCACGGCTACAAGCTGTCACGCACGCACCCAAACCTGTACATCCGCGCAGGTCTGGGTGTCTGCACTTGCCCGTAGACAGTGTGTGTCCATGTGCAGACATCCGGACCCAGGTGTGCATGCGACAGCGTGTAATTGCGCACAGCAGCCTGTTCTTCCCTATGGGAGGAGGCAGCTGAACGCAATTACACGCCGTAACATGCCCACCTGGGTCCGGATGTACACACACACACACTATGTCCAAGTGCAGACACCCAGACCCGCACAGATGTACAGGTTCGGGTGTGCGCGACAGCTTGTAGTCGTGTATCACATTCACATAGGGAAGAACAGGTTGCTGAATGCAATCACACGCAGCACACGTCCCTTCCGGGATCGGGTCTTTTTACAGGCATGCACGCTGCACGGACGTGTACCACCAATTGAATGAGCCCTAATTGTGGCACCTCAATTTTATTACACCATCAGTAGAGCTCGGTTCGGTCCACTTGGGCCATGCAGAGCCGAGACTAAGCAGAGGAGTCATGGTAGAAATCCAAATAAAAGCATTTCATGCGGCATGTAGGAGCCTTCAGTGTTCTCCGGGGACAAGGTCCAGGACTGCAGCCGGATTAATGACATTGGACGCATATTATTAGAGAGGTCTCCATGAATGGAAGTGCATGTTCCTGGCTCCTAGGTACAAAGTTCGGGCATCTCACTCTACTTTGGTCCCCGTCACCCCAGGGTTGGTTCCCCCCCGGCAAGACTCGGTACTCATAATGAAGTGGCCTCCATGGCGCACTCACCGTATCAGTTCTGGAGACTGGATGATGGCTTCTACAATATTCTCCCGGATACAGTGACGATCCTCCTCGGGAATAGTGTGTGTGGGGATTTCGCCGGGGGTCACCTCCCGGTCCGGCCAATACTGAGTGATCATATTTTTTAAATAAATAACACCTGCGGAGGAGGAAGAGGAATAATGTGAGTACACAAGTCTGATGTCACAATGAGCTGTACAACCGGTACAAAGAAAATCTCATTATGGAGGACATCCCACCCACCCCCAAACCCCTTTATAGCTGGTTACCTACCCCTAGATCACCCCGGCTCTATGCAGACCAGCCTAGTGCTGCACAGACTTTACACAACTAGTCCCAGCCATTCCAGCTCCTACTGACCATGCATTCCTATGGATGCCTCGTGCTCAGGGAAGCCCCTCATCCATAGGAGTACAGACCAGCTATAGCAGGGGTAGCCAAACTGCGGCCCTCCAGCTGTGGTGAAACTACAAATACTATCGTGCATTTGCCTCAGTAGGCCTTGCCTGTGGCTGTCAGTCTTGCAATGCCTAATGGGGCTTGTAGTGTCATCACAGCTGGAGGGCCGCAGTTTGGCTACCCCTGAGCTATAGGAATAGGCCAAGCAGAGTATATGTGCAGCACAAGCTGGACAAGGTCAGCATTGGGCAGGGCCACAGAGTAAAGATCTCAGGAGCGGGACCGGAGTTCAATATGAAGGTATGCGGCTTCCGCCTAAGGGCAGTGACAACGCCACGAGCCCCAAGAACAACCCATTCAACAATACAGACCTCCGACCAGAAGAAGGATCTCATTGCTGCGGCCTGTCCATCTGCCATCGTGCTTCTACCCTGCCCTCCCCAGAACTTGTCTGTATGGATCTGGACATGGACACATTCGGTCAGAACACATTAGCCAATGGCTGCATGTTTAAAAGGACTCCGGGAGCTAAAATAAGAGTTACTCACCAGAACCACGATCCTGGCTGGCTGCTAGACCGGTCCCCTTCAGGCTCACTCCCCCTCCGATCCAGCTGTCTGAGGTCCAGCGAGTCATCACGTCCTATACAGTGTACAGGACATCCATCGCTGAGGGAGGGGAGGGAACGAGCTGAAGGGACCGGTCTAGAAGCCAGCCGGGATCGGGCGAGCGTTATTTCAACTCCCTTATCAAAAATCGAGCATTTAACCCTTGCAGCGCTGGAGTAGCCTTTACTTCTAGTAGCCTTAGTTCTACTTTAAGAACCCTCTCGCGGCTTTCTCCGGGGTTTCCCTTTAATTCCGCTGCTGTGACCTGCGGACGACACTCGGCAGTTCTGAGATTTTGCTGAATTCACATCACGGGGACTTTTGTCACCAGCTGCGTTTTACGAAACCGCTTCTAGAAAAACGTGAGCAGCAGCTGTGCGGCCTTTGTCGCCTCGATTTGTGCGGAGTACGGAAAACACGTTCCGCGATCTAAATTTAACAAGGAACGTCAAAGAAACTAAAAGCTGAGAATTTCAAACATCCAGCTTGGCACAACGGACCCGTCCATAATCAAGTGTACCTGTCATAGCGGAGGATGAGCAGTTACTGATCCCTAAACAGAACTGGGCACCAGAGGAACGGGAAATCTGCCTCATTAACCCCTTCCTATACGTTTGGCAGCGTGGAGGCGGGCCTTATTTTGTGCCGCAAATGTCCATAGATCTTGCAGCACTCCTTACCGGAAATCCCAAAGTGTTGAAGGTTGCTCGAAATGACGGCGGATGGCGCCGCACACAAATCTACTTTAAATACAGATGTCACCAGCACGACAAAACTTGAGTCAGTGCAAATCCATTGAATGATAGAGGTCACTCAGTATATCAGGCGCTTTCGGGGCCGCACAGGGTGCCCTTCATCAGGCTCGGAGTAGACATTCTGTGCTGCCACATAGATCGCGGTTCTGTACTCAGCATTGTGACACTCGGGAGCTGTGGGTGGCTGTGCAGTCAATTAAATGCAAGACGGGCTCCTAATCAAATGACCTCTGAGAGCCAATCACATGATCAGGAAGCCCATGAACCGCCTGAGCACCACAGACGGATGGACGACACCCACACATCACACATGGCAGAAGCGCCCAGACGGATGGACGACACCGACACGTGGCAGCAGCGCCCAGACCGATGGACGACACCCACACGTGGCAGCAGCGCCCAGACCGATGGACGACACCCACACGTGGCAGCAGCACCCAGACCGATGGATGACACCCACACGTGGCAGCAGCACCCAGACGGATGGATGACACCCACACGTGGCAGCAGCACCCAGACGGATGGATGACACCCACACGTGGCAGCAGCACCCAGACGGATGGATGACACCCACACGTGGCAGCAGCACCCAGACGGATGGATGACACCCACACGTGGCAGCAGCACCCAGACGGATGGATGACACCCACACGTGGCAGCAGCACCCAGACGGATGGATGACACCCACACATGGCAGCAGCACCCAGACGGATGGATGACACCCACACGTGGCAGCAGCACCCAGACGGATGGATGACACCCACACGGATGGATGACACCCACACGTGGCAGCAGCACCCATGCCAGAACCTCATACTTGCCTGCTTGTCGCACAGGTAGATCCAGTTGCTCAGACATTGTGATCTGCAGCAGGGTGGACACGAAATTCACAGACTTGTGAGCCTAGAAAACAAAAAAGAGGGACATTAATGGAGAGGAAAGTCATGACTTTAAATTTGCACAGACAGATTAGAACTGTTCATAAAGACAAATGTCTACTGCGTATTTTTTATATTTAATGTTCCTTCAGAAACCGGTCCGGTTCTTCTGCGATGCATCATAAAGGACTAATTAAAGTAAAACATTCCACTGGGTCGGATTTGTATGCAGAAGGCCTCGAATGGAGCTGAAGGGCGCTTAGAAGGCTACAGGAATGATGCTCATTGATTATTAAATGCTGGCCGAGCAGGACGCCCTTCAGAACAAAATTTACAACTTAAAGCCTGCGAGAACTAGTCCACCATTAAAAAGGGGAAAGCCGGGCCCCATGGACCTGGGCGTCCCCCTCTACGCACAACGCTGGGCCCCATGACCTGGGCGTCCCCCGCACCTACGCTGGGCCCAATGACCTGGTGCGCCGACACCGTCCCCCATGATCTGGGCTCACTCCCCCTACGCACAAAGCCATCCCCCATGACCTGGGCTCACTCCCCCTACGCACAATACCGGGCCCCATGACCTGGGCTCCCACCCCCCTAACCAAAACACCGGCCGCGTCCCCCTACGCACAATACCGGGCCCCATGTCCTGGGCTCACACCCCCCTACGCACAATACCGGGCCCCATGAACTGGGCTCACACCCCCCTACGCACAATACCGGGCCCCATGTCCTGGGCTCACTCCCCCCTACGCACAATACCGGGCCCCATGTCCTGGGCTCACTCCCCCTACGCACAATACTGGGCCTCGTGACCCGGGAGCCCCTTACACAGAATGGTGGGCCACATGAAACTCATTAAAGCTGAACTGCAGGCAAACAGTTAAAAGGGTAATTGCACTTTACCAAAGTGAATTTGGGAAAATAGAAACACCCCCCTCCCCTGCGAACGCTCCTTTCCCTCCGCTGGTGTAGCGCAGCCCTGCGCTCTGAATTTCCCTCGCATACGGTGACCGCGCTGGCCAATGAGCGCTCACTATTTGTGAGTGAAATTCAGAATCCAGAGAGCAGAGCTGCGCTACCCAGCAGTACAGGGTGCGGATAGAGGACCCGTACCAGCCGTGGGAAAGGAGCATTTGCCAAAAGGTAAGTATAGCAGGGGGATGGGGGCAATACCATTTCCCCAAATTCACCTGGGAAAGTGGAATTACCCTTTAAACATTGGCTTCTTTATGTAAATTATTTTTACCCACCCAAGGGTGTTTATTTCTGTCCATCCGTTCCAGAGATCTACACTGCTCTTTTATGTAGATCTCTGGAACGGATGGACAGAAATAAAACACCCTTGGGTGGGTAAAACGGCACTGCTCACTTTCAGGTCCCCTTCCTGCCCTGTGACTGGACAGCGAAAAGGAGAAACAGCCACCGAAGGAATTAATTTCTCTTTCCCTATGCCCTGCGCCTCGCTCTCCCTCCGCTGCAGCGGCCAAAGGATACTCACGTCATCACGTTCTATACACAGTGCATAGGATGCTGAGGGACAAACCATTGCTGCTGAGGAGGGAGCGCTGTTACAGCCGGCCGGATCCAAGGCTCAGGGTGAGTATAACAGACACAAATGAGCAGTGCGGGGGTAACTCCAAGGGTTAAGAATTTGGACCCCCCCCCTCTGCTTTAAGTGTGAACTGGTGGGGGCCTCGAAGGCACAAATATGGAAAGGTGAATGATTCTATACACGGGTACAGGAGGGGGAGGGGTTTCTTTATTTGGCTGGAATGTTGAATGTAGTGCACAGATCCTTTAAATGTCACTTTGTCAGAAAATTGCCGCAGCGGGGAGCCCCGATTTCCCGAAGTCAGACTCCCCACCGAAAATCACGCAGAGAGAACCCGACCGCTGAGTACATATTCTGCGCGTCCTCGGCTGCCGCTGAACTCGGCCTTGATCTGCGGCAATTCAAACTTTGTGCGTTTACATCGGGACATCGCCGCGCTTTGATGGGAGAGGAGAGCCGCGGCGCGACACGAGGGCCTGAAATGAACGTCGAGAGGCAGACGTGACACGAGGATTAATGGCGGGCCTTGTGAAGACGGCGGCCTCCTCTGACCGATGCATAATCGCAGACGTCTCAGCGCTCCATTATCGCCTATTCCGCTAGCCTGTCAAGGATGGAGAGTCCCCCGCACGTACACCCCCCGACAGGTGTAATGAGCCGAGAACTCCAAAAATTGTACTGCAAAAGAGAGCCAATTAAACCTGGCTGTGCAAAGTGCAGCAACACAATGCGGCCAATCACAAATGATCTGACAGTAGTAAAGATCTCATTGGCTGCTATGAGATAAGAAGCGGTAACAACCAAAAAAAACTACACCACGAATCTAAAGATGGCCACCCCCCCTTATGAGATGCTTAAAGGGGGCAGGATTTAGTTATTTGAATTTAGCCCCGCCCACACAGTCATCCATTCACAAGGATCAATGGACACACTACAAGTCGCCATGGCAGAGGGACCCAGCAGCAGAGCCGTGATGTCACCACAATTGTCCAACAACTTCCTCCTCCCCATAAA